CATCAGACGATAAAATATCTAATGCAAACATAAAGTAGCAATAATTAATTTTCAACACTTAAAAGGAAGCGAATGTTTTTAATATGAAAAGAGAATATTAATCTGATATGTTTTTTTGTTTACAAACCCGGATCTAGTTTTTTTATTTTAGAATTTTTACTTGAAATGACCTTATTCAAGTCTATATAACTAATATTATAAATGAGAATATTTATATAGGTTGATTAATTAGAGTTTGTAGCCCAAACGGTTGAAATTTACTTTAGTAAGTTACTTTCAGTTTATATTAATACCCTGCGGATGGAATCGCGGACGAAAGCAAGTATTATAAAGTGGAAAGATTTGTATTATTTATGTAACGAATAGACCTAATTACTGGACCGATTTTGAAAATTCTTTTACCTTTAAAAATCTACATGACCACAGAGCAACATAGATTACATTTATTGATTTTTTAAATTTCGATCTTCGGTCTAAGTTGCAGGTACTCTTTAAATTTTGAGATGAAAATAATAATGCAAAAAAAATCTACATAAATGACGTCAGACATCGAGTCAGTTCGGCGAATATAAAAAAAACTCGGTACACTCCCCACTTTATTACTATTGTTACCACGCTCGTACCGTGGGAATACAAAATGTAAGACATTGAAACACGTGATTTATATATCGAGCTAAATATGAAATGACTCATTGAAGTTACCATTCAAATAACTAAATATTAACTAAAGCGTTCGTCAATTTATTCAAGAAAATTACACACAGGAATTTCATAATCAGTTGGAAAAAACAACAATTTTATGAAAGATAAGCTGTTGCTCGCGACTCCGTTCACGCAAAATAAAAAAACATAGCTTATGTTTACTGACTGATAACGTAGCTTTTTAATTGTGAAATAATTTTTGATATCGGCCTTGTACTTTTTGAGCTATTCTAATACTTACGAAAATACAAATCTTTCATCTTTATAACCTCTACTAATATTATAAAGAGGAAAGATTTCTATTTTTGAATTATTTGACCGACTTCCCAAAAGAAGGAGGTACTCAATTCGTCTGTATGTTTTGTTTATGTGTGTTACGGCATAATGTATGTATGTGATTCACGCAAAAACTACTGGACCGTTTTTAAACATTCTTTCACTATTAGAAAGGTAATTAATCTGTGAGTAACATAGTCAATATTTTGTAATATTTTTTAATTTCACGCGGGCGTAGTATTAAGTAAAGACAAAATCATCGATATCTACAAATGGACAGGCTATCAGTAATGGTATTATGTGTATTTGTTTTTTTATTTTGCAACTAGTAGTCGTGGTGTTTTCGAACTAATGACAGTGAGGAACTTGCAAGTAACCGTCTGGTTAAATTTCACAGTAACCTTGACTTCACTTTAGATACTTCTTTTGAAACCTGTATTACGTATCACGGAAGATGGTAGTTTATCAAAATTACTTTAACGTCTGTCATCGCAATCGTAAGTAGGCGTAACTTGAGCAATATGCTTAGAGTTCGTGTTAATATAAGCGTGGGTTTACACTGCCTAAGAACTATTCAAAAACATACAGTTTTCTCTCCTTTTTCATTCAGTAGGAGATGATTTAGAAATGCACGGTTAATTGAAATGCGTTATGATGATACACACTGATGTTATAAATGCGAAAGTTAATATGGATGTTTGTTAATACAAAACAGCTTAACAAATCTTGATAAAATTCAACACAGATGTAGAACATAGTCTGTATGACCACATAGGCTATTTATAAAGATTTTTATTAATGCCTCGGGGATAAATTCGAAGGCATAATCTAGTATAGATGTTATATCTAAACTACATTGAATGATTTCGTACAGTTTGCATACTGATTGTAGAACTGCAGGCAAAACATCAATGTACCTTCGACACGAGATACATGCATATTATAAATATACAATTGGCTGTACAATAAGCCCTCATTATCTTCCTTATCCGTACTCCTGTAGGGTTGGCGCAACAGGTTTTTGCCCTCCACATAACTCTATCATACGTCATCTCAGTCATCTTCTTGATCATGTCACCTTTCACGCCATCCCTTTCTATACCTCTACCAGTGTACCTCCACATAATAAGCCCTGTAAGATTATCAACTGATTTGAAACACAACACAAGCATAAACGCGTTCATATCAAAACGAATGTGGGGGCGCCACATTCGTTTTGATATGAACGTTAGTTTAGAAAGTAGAGCACGCTGTTAGTAATTGTATGTTTCATTACCAAAGTACATGTTTCAACTCAATTATTTTGTAAGACATACAGGATGTATAAAAATTCTGTTGTTGAAATAAAATTAACTCAAAGTTAAATGTTTTGAGTTCTAATTGGTTAGAGATTTTATTTTGCAGTTTTAATAACAACAAAAACATAAAATACAGATTACACTTATGTAGTACCAGCTTTATTTAAAAAAAAAAACAAAAGTGTGCCTATGTGTTCTTCCCGACTATCCTCTACATCTATACCAAATGTCATCAAAATCCTTTCATCCGTTTAGGCTAACAAACATCCATCCATCTAAACTTTCGTATTTATAATATTTTTCCAGAATCGTGTAATTTTATAGGCGTAGAAAACATTTTTATTATCAATAAAAAGGACAGTAAACTTTATGGTTTAATCTGACAATGGTTTTATCGTCTATTCGTAAAATTCTATAAGTTTTATTGATTTCATTGTAAAGGTTCCATCATGTTATTGACATAAAGGATTTCATTCTAATCTGTACTTATCTATACTATTATAATAAAGCGTAAACACACACTTTTTGTTGCCTAAGATGTCAGCAATTACAGCATATTTTTGAATAATTATCTTTTTAATAAAAAGCCCTAAACTTACTTCACGCTTTAGAATATATACTTTAACGCCATTAAACTTAGGGGGTAAATATTTTGGATAAAAACCCTAATGTGGGAAAGAGACCATAAGTTGCTGCCAACATCCAGAAAGCCAGATTGCTAAGGTTTATCATGTCATGTCATTTTGACATTTGCTATTAATAATTTGATAAATGTAAACAATGAAATAAAATTTTCATAATTTTGAAGCCGCACGGGAACAGCTAGTTTCCTTATATTTTGTAACCGAATACTAAGTTTGAAATTCATTTCATCATTCATTCGTGAATTTTTTACGACACGAACGATATTAAAAAAAAACACATCAATTTTGTGTAAATTTATGTTAACAATATTTGTGACGTAAATTTCCGCATTCCCGTTTAAAAATCTTGCTTACCTTAATGCACATTCAAATTTTAACCTTTTGTGAATTAACATTACTTATGAGATAATTACATTCAAAACAATTCGTTTCAGTTTAGTACCTACAACAGTTAAATCATTGACTATATCTATACTATTATAATAAAGCGTAAACACACACTTCTATGTTGCCTAAGATGTCAGCAATTACAGCATATTTTTGAATAATTCTTTTTTTAATAGAAAGTCCTACACTTACGTCACGCTTTAGGCTATATATTTTCACGCCTTTAAACTTAGGGGGTAAATATTTTAAAACCCTAATGTGGGAAAGAGACCATAAGTTGCTGCCAACATCAAGGAAGCAAAATTACCATGCTTTGTCATCATGTCATGTCTGTCATTTTGACATTATGCAGTTGAATTTGACAAATGTAATCAGTAAAACAGTTTTCATAATTTCATGCGAATGAAGTCGCACTGGAACAGCTGGTATTTTAATATTTTGCATTTAAAGTCGTCCAAATATTATAGTGCATATTAACTATGTAATTACGTAAATATACCAAGGTCTATAATTGAATACAGAAGTCTCATTTTAAATTATTTTAACTGACGATTGGATAATCTTCGCACCCGTTGATGTCTTTTCTACCGCGATTATGTCAACGCGTTAAAACACGAGGAAACTCGTAACGACCACCTTTATGGACCTGTATTTACGTAAATAGTTGCCGGAATGCCTATTCTATCTAAGTTTCAATTTATAGCGGTGTTAAGTAACTTTTTAAATATATTAAGTGAATTAATCACAACAGATATGTTTAAACGAAATAGTTTAGTAAATGTTTGTCGTTTATAGACAAGATTAAAGGCTGATTAATTAATATTGGTGACCTGATAAGCAATTACTATAAATATAAACTAACAAGCTGTTCCCGTGCGACTTCATCCGCATAAAATTATGAAAAATTTATATTATCGTTTACATTTATCAAATTATCAATTGCAAATGTCAAAATGACATGACATGACAAATCTTAGCAATCTTTCTTTCTTGATGTTGGCAGCCACTTATAGTCTTTTTCCCACATTAGGGTTTTCATCCTAAATATTTACCCCTAAGTTTAATGGCATTAAAATATATAGCCTAAAGCGTGACGTAATTATAGGGCTTTTTACTAAAGAAAAAGTTATTCAAAAATATGTTGTAATTGCTGACATCTTAGGCAACAAAGAAGTGTGTGTTTACGCTTTATTATAAGAGTATAGATTTATGCAGTATGTTTAAAAATTTCAACTTAACACAGGCTATTTGATTACCTGAGGTGAAAATAAGTGAATAATTATTTTATTTTAAACATTATACTTTATTTATTTTATTGATAAAAATAGTCAATAAATGTTTTAAATAAATAATTTATTGAGAATAATTTATGTAAATTACCGTTTCGTTTACATTACGAAATAATTTATTTTAATCTTCAATACTTAATTTAATGTATTATAATTTAATTACGCTTATTTAAATAAAGTTCGTTAACTTTAAACAATTATGTTACGGAATAATCCGTACATCGTAACCACTAGAGTGCAATGAAATCGAATCACGTCGGAAAAAAACACTTTTGCTTGTCACGCTATGCCGTGACATTATCTCACAATGCGATACTTTTAATAATATGACAATAAGTGCAAAAAAAAACTATAATACAAAGTTTTAAAAGAAAATAATTTTTATAACAAACATTTTCACTTACCGCAAGGTAGACGATGTTGAACAAATCGTTTCCTACCAAAAAAAAAATCCGTGCAACTTTAGTAAGGATTAAACTCAACCACGGGCCACTTTTACTAAAAACCGAACGTAATCGAATTTAAAAAAGCTATAACGGAACCTTAAGAACGAGTTGCCGCGTCCAAAGTTGAGCGGCGACTGAGAGTTTGAGCGTTCGATTCTGCCGCGTTCGTTCCCCCGCGGTACGGTCAACGTGGGTCGAAAATGAACCCGTTCTAACAACGCTTTTCACTATTACTCACGTAGTTTGAAATACATTGCTGCTTTTGTTTAACAAAGTGCTAGTGATTACTTTGATAATGCATCAATGTATTTGTAGCAAAGAGATAGTAAAGTAGTATGGTTGTTAGTATCCCGTTTTATATTACGTATACGTTGAACGAGCGATAAATGCTACTGGGAAATGAGATTAGTGTTTTTTATTGAATCAATTAATAATTCATACAAGTTTATATTTATTCATAACAGCTATTAGTGTAATTTATCTAACACTTATGTAGCATTTTTCGCAAGTAGGTATGTAGTGAAAATAGCAGTTTACAGTAATTAATCATTCATTTAAAACTAAAGATGAAGATTAGATTCATCATTTTAATCGATAGATGGCGCTTATTTCAAAAATATTTTTTTTATATATTTTAGAAACATTTAAGGAAAACAATTACATTAAAGAACTTGAAACTTGAAATCTACTTTAATTTGATACTAGCTGTTGCCCACGACTTCGCCTGCGTTAGATTAAAAATAATAAAAAGTATAGCCTATGTTACTGATAATGTAGCTTTTCAATTTTGAAAGATTTTTTAATTTGACCAGTTATTTTTGAGTTACTCCAAAACAATTAAAAATATTACTCTTGCCTCTTTATATTAGTATATAAAAATGCTACTATTTTAGTACATAATACAATTTATTTCGTTTTATTTGAAGTTTTATTTTTGTCTCATATACTGATGTCAGGTATTTATAGATATCTTTGCACGTAAACTTATCTTGTATCGCATTCCGTTTCACAACGTACCCATCACTTTCATCTTGAGGACATCTTTTTAAATAGTAATTAACGGTCACGAGAGTTTTAATATCTTTATCATATTTAAAAAACAAGAATTAAAAACATGCGACTGACACTGCACAGAGGGCACCTTTGACTAAATTATCGCACAAATGTTGTGCGATTGTCGATTGTTTCGCATTCAACTGTTTACTTGCACAATTAAAATTGAGTAGTGTGCAACTAAGCTCAAGGAATCAAAGCACGACTAAACGGTTGTGCGATAATTTGGTTAAAAGTGTGCGCTTTAAACGTACACAGAATGTTCTTTCTGTATATATACTAATATTATAAAGAGGAAAGATTTGTATTTTTGCATGTATTGAAATAATTCAAAAACTACTTGGAGTATTTGAAAAAATCTTCCAACATTAAAAAACTGTGGCATCAGTGAGTAACATAGGCTATATTTTTTATTACTTTTCAAAGTCACGGGGACGAAGTCGCGAGCAACAGCTAGTCAACTATAATTGCATCAGACATGAAAGTATATCGTAAATATATTAATAACCTCGCTGTCGGTATTACGTAAGCGTGTTCAAAACGGATTACATATAACAGCAGTATTTTATGAGTCTTATTTTTGGAAAATACGCTCATCAATGTTTTTATCTCTTTCTTTCTCTTTGAAAAAAACAGAGATAACAATATGTCTATAGATGTTTCAGCGGTGAAATCAACATAAGACTGTGTTCTCCTGGATATAAACATGAATGTGAAACCAGGTCTAAAACACATGGTACGTATATCTTACTACGAGTATAAAATGTAAACATGACTAGCTGTTGCTCGCGACATCGCCCCAGTTATTTAAAAAAATACATAGCAATGTTACTCATTCATAATATAGCCTTTTAACGAGTAAAAATTTTCGCAATCGGATCAATAGTTTTTGAGTTATTTCAATACATGCAAAAATCCAAGAATACAAATCTTTTCTCTTTATATTATTAGTATAGACTAGCTGAGCCCGTGCGGCTTCATCCGCATGAAATTATGAAAATTTTATTTTATTGATTACATTTGTCAAATTAGCAATACTAGATGTCAAAATAACAATTACCTATCTATGGCAATCTTGCTTCCTTGATGTTGGCAACAACTTATGGTCTCTTTCCTACATTAGGATTTTATCCAAAATATTTACCACCTAAGTTTAATAGCGTGAAAATATATAGCCTAAAGCGTGACGTAAGTGTAGGGTTTTCTGTTAAAAAAAGAATTATTCAATACTATGCTGTAATTACTGACATCTTAGGCAACAAACAAGTGTGTGTTTACGCTTTGTTATAATAGTATAGAAGTACAGATATATAGTGTGTGCTAAACCTGATACAGGAACTGAGATAATAGAAAAATCTCTGCCCCTTTTAACATGTTAAATAATAGACATTGTAAAGTATATTTTCGCCTTATAAACTCATATCTCTCTAGCATGTAAGACAAGTATATAAGCTAATCTCGGGTCCACATAGCAGTACAGAATTTAACATTTAAATCCTGTTTTAGAGGTGTTTGACCTCCGCCATTCCAATCGAAGAAAACTGGAGACATTTTATTTTCAGACGCCATAATAATAAAAAAAACTAAATTATAATATTTGTTGCTTCTTATATTAAAAAATAAACATTCAATACAAAGTATTTATTTTTCACTCTACAACTCTCATTGCTTCTGTTAATATTTATAGGGTCCTCAAATCAATCGTTATTCTGTGCGGTCTAAAATCGATAGAAATCAATTATCGATTAATCATTTAATCGATTTCCGAGCAGCGTATTCCAGATGAGTAGTGAACGTGTAACCTTGATATAGATACAGTCGCTGCAATGTATTATTAATCTGTATTCTGTATAAACGAGCATATGGCAACTACTCTATATAACTATATACTCTGTATACAATAATTATAGACATTCAACACACAAATAGAATAGACGTACAACACTCATTACAATGCTTATGACAACCGAGTGATATTTACTTGCTAAATTGTCAAGTTAGTACGTTACTGCCTACCATTTCGGGTTACGGGTGTTATTGTATTTTTTTTATATCATTTAGTATTAGGTATGCATAATCCGCACATTTACTTTAAAGTTTTTTTAATCCATAAATGTTCCTCTTTCAATTTATAAAAATATACATGTTTTTAAGCAAAATATAAATGCAATTATCTTTAAGTTTTCGCAAAAGTGTTGGTTTTAATGCTCTTCAAACATCAAAGCACAAACAAAATGGCTCAAATTAGCTGGACACACTTAAAAGCGGTCAAAAACCTCTAAAAACAGGCTCTAATCTTCAACATAACGCTTATGTTGATTCTTGGTTTTGTCACATCACTAACAAATTATGAATTTCGTCACTTTACAATCTTACTAAATTGTAAACATGTAAACAGAAAATTGTTAATCAAACAGTTACACGGTCAATTTACGAAAGTTCCTAATCTGTCCAATTCAAATCATAATATAAACCGATAAATTTAGTATCATAAAGTTCGTAAATATTTATTTAAGAACTAATTAACATTTAAAACGGCAATTAAATAGATTTTGTTCTTGAACTTCTGATTATAACCGTGGGTTTATACTGGCGAAATATTTTTACATCTTGTATCTCTGTTTCTTCAAAGGAAGAGCAGAAGGAATATATTTGCACTATTGTTGTCAATAATACCAACGTTTACATATCAAAAACTTTAATATCAAGTGCATTGATTACCCGTTTACCTCGCACACAATAACACCTACTTAACTATTAATTTATTAATAAAATGTTGCAAAAACGATGGTTCTTACGTAAACTATCGTATGTTTAAAATATAAATTTTGCAAGACAAATCTTTAAAAATTCAAACTAAAAACAATGCATCAAAACTAAAACTATAGATGACCAATATCTACATCTCTTTCTGATGTTACTTTCAAATTTACATATAAGTTAGTACTTTCAAGTTAATTTAAAAAGCATAAAACTTGGTGTAAAACACAAAATTGTAGCTTATGACAGTCTACGTAGGAGCCATGTATGTTTAAAACCAAATAAACCGTTAATTCGTTACTGTAAATGGTTAATTTGAACAATTTAGCAATTCAAATGAGTTAGTGTAATAAAATTAATATTGTATAAATAATAGATTTGTCACTGAACAGTTAGTGATACTATCGAGTATTAGCTGTTCCAATGCGACTTCATCCGCATGAAATTATGAAAATTTTATTTTATAGTTTACATTTGTCAAATTACAAATTTCAAAATGACTTCACATGATGACAACCTTGCTTCCTTGATGTTGGCAGCAACTTATGGTCTCTTTCCCACATTAGGGTTTTTATTTAAAACATTTACCCCCTAAGTTTAATGTCGTTAAAATATATAGTCTGAAACGTGACGTAAGTATAGGGCTTTTTATTAAAAAAAAGAATTATTCAGAAATATGCTGTAATTGCTGACATCTTAGGCAACAAAGAAGTGTGTGTTTACGCTTTATTATAATAGTATAGATATAATTTATCAAGTCTATAGTAATGGGTTCCGTTACCGTGTTTCTTTACTTTATAAATTATAGATGTTTAAACGGTATTCTTGTCTGCAAATTTAAATAAATACCACGTTTGTTTTATTAGTCAAATGGTAATTTTTAACGGTATTTAAACTTTTGACATTTATAAGTGTTTATGCAATTTTTTTAAGTAAACTCTAGGATTTTTTATTTAATCTGTAAAATAATAAAATGTATGTAATTTTAACCTATATAAATAAGGTTGACATTTTGAAAATAAAAGAAAATTATTATTTTGACAAAAATTTCTTCCTTCGAGCCGGATTTGAACCAGCGACCTATGGATGTCAATATCGGTTTGGCCTTCTACAGTCCACCGCTCTACCAACTGAGCTATCGAAGGTTGTGACTAGTGAGTCGAAATAGTCCTATTGGCTATACTACAACTGATTAACCGAATTTTATATTTTGAATTGAACGTAATTACTATTTTAGCTTCTTTATTAGATTTTTGCTCCTAAGGAATACCACAGAACACAAAAAATAAAATAAAACTCGAATTACGTAAAATCTCTAAAA